ATTCGCCCAGAGGAGCTGGAGGAAGTGTCTGGAGAGAGAGAAGTCTGGGCATCTTTGCTTAGACTGCTGCCCCCGCGACCTGGTTCTGGATAAGTGGAGGAAAATGGATGAATGGATGGATGGTAACCTATAACTTCTGTGGCTCTAGTCAGTGTGTTTTGTTTTCATCAGTACTTGTTATCATATCAAACTGAGTAATAAGCAATGCTGAAGTGTCCTTGGGCAAGGTAACAAAACCTTATGTACATGAGATGTCCATAACCTCTGAACTTTTCATGGGTCAGGGCACAAGAAAGGCAAATTTTATCATAATGACCAGTTAAAGCCTCTATACACCTCTGATACACATCCACTAGTGTTTTCAGTTATTTAGACTGATTAGAGGTTGTTAGCACTGTTGCCTCACAGCAAGAATGTTCCAGGTTCGAGCCTCAGCCAATCCGGGGCCTTTTGATGTGGAGTTTGCATGTTCTCCCTGCGCCTGCATGGTTTCTCTGCGGGTACTCTGGCTTCCTCCCACAGTCCAAAGACATGCAGATTAGGTTGATTGGCAACTGCGAATTGTGTGTGTGTGGTTGTCTGTCTCTAAGTGTCAGTTCTGTGAGAGACTGTAACTTGTACAGGGTGTATGTACCCTGCCCGCGACCCTGTTCAGGATAAGCAGTATCGATAATGGATGGATGGATGGATATATGAAGCTGTGTGACCTCAGCTAACAGGCCTTTTTTCACCTTAGATATTTTGAAGTGTTATAGCAAAAAAGGAATGGAATGCACTCCCTAGTCCCTTACTCTGTAGCCAAAATACTCTGTATCAAGTACAAACACACACACACACACACACACACACACACAGCCTGGACCAATTATTGCCATGGATGTATGTGAACATTTCCATTTCACATTATATAGAACACTGCAAATGCATAATCTTGCTTGTGTTAACATTGTGTTTAGTTCTTTACCAAGGATTCAGGATTTATTTTTCACTTGCCTGCTCCTTCCATTGCATGAGTGCTAATTAGGCAGAAATGGGAAACACCTGTGTGGGTGTAGTATTGCTCTGGTTATTACTTCATTATACAGTTATCCATATGCTGGCTACAATATTCTTTCCTTTACACACCTGCTTATCAGGAAGCTTCAGACGTCTGCAAATAGCCTAATAACAACTCTAGGTTACTTAACATAGACTAATCAAGTCCCATTGCAGCCATCATAGACATCAAATCCTTTCATGCCTTGGTGATAATAGACTACACAAGGGGAGGTGGATTTGTAACTATAGCTCCATTCAGAGAATGGTCTGAGTCAAGTTTCCAGTTACCACACTGTTAGTCCTAAGACTTGAATTGTCGCAGATAAGAAAGTCCTACCTGGTTCAGTGTATCAAAGCCAGGAAAAGAGTCTGCATCTCAGGGAGAGGGAAGGGAAGGGAATGAAACAGGTTCATCTCATCCATCCATGTAGCTACTACAGTGTTGTCAAACGATTGAATTGGTTTGTGGCGTAGGGGCAGGGGAAAGAAGCATTTACCTTTCTCATCCTGGCGACAGAGCCTTCACACAGACGAACTGCCTCCTGTTGAAAGCAGAGGAGGAGGTCGATGCGTCGTAAAGAAAGAAATCTCCAAGCGCGTCTATTTTTATTGTCTCCACTGACTCCTGGCTAATAAAACGTGCGAATTAGAGCACGCAAATTACCGCATCACGAGCATATCTCTTATTAACTGGACAAGTCAGACGTGCAGATATAACCATTTATAAGTCGACAAACGAGCACATCCTCAACGCGTGGTGGAAAGGGGGATTTTGTAAAGATGAGAATGCATTACAATGCAAGAAATGGTGTGATGGCGAGAGGGACTGTTGGGAGATCTGCATATGGAAATTAGGGTTAGCGTGCATAAAAGTCCTACTTAAATCGCAGCATTATTTTGTATTAATTTGTGCGGGATCCTGCAGTGCTACTGAGAGGGACGAGAAGTGACTTTGCCATATAGAAAAGTCTTGCGTGAAGCAGGCGCTTATAGCCTATTTAACTATTAGTAACAGGAACGTGCTAAAACATGTTTTAATCATATTTTAGACATGGGGTTGAAGCCTTTATTTCACTTGTGGTGTAAATTAAACGTTGACTTTAACTCCTGTGGTATCTGTCCAAAAGCAGTAAATAGATTTTTTTTTTGTAGCTATTTAAATTAGTTTTGGTCTCATGAGGGTGAAAACTGAGCTCAGCGCTGTCAGTGTGAAGTAAATTAAGCAGAAAGCAATTTGCCCTTTAACTACAAACCTCTTGAGAATTAAAGACAGTGAAACAAGTACAAAGCCAAAGAAAAATGAGCACAACACTTTTTTACGATCACCACACATTGCACTGAGAAATAAAACGACGAAGGAAGCGCTGAGCAGTGAAACCTCTTGATGCAACAGGGCCACGCCCACTGTGAAACTTCGGACCAATCACCGGGCGCAGGGTGAGTGTGCGCATACGTAGTTTGAACGCGCGGGAGAAACAGATAGAGCAAACAATGACAGCGGTATAATCCTTATAATTTGGTTCATATTTGCGGAATATACCATCACACAAGAAGCCGACATACGAGGTTAGTCAGTGTTTCAGTAAGCGGGGTTGTGTTTAGTTTTATATTCAGACACTTCAGTTTATTGACGCCAGCTTCATTCAAAATAAGCGCAGCAATACTAAAATGTTAGCTAAGTTAACTATTGACTTACATGACATGTAGGCTGCGTAATAAGGTGTAGTAACGTTAGCTAGCGATTCTAGTGCTGTTATTTAAGCCAGCTGTTTGTAGTTTTAAAGTAAGGAGACATCATTTGACAGATTTTGAAGTGACAGCCTCAGAGACCGCCGAGTAACATTAGAACAGCTGTTTGACCTACTATTATGGTATTAGTCATACTTGACTTGTTATTTTGTGTACTGGATTGTCATTTTCTGTAACGTTGCATATACGTAGTGGTATATGTATATTTAAGCGACATATTGCTTTAAATATGCATTTACGCTGTATAACGGAACTTTACATCTATCACATCACTTTTGGGTGATAACTCAGTTATCCACCCATTATTTATACCGCTTATCCTGGAGGGGGGAGGGAGGGGGGGCAATTGGCTGGAGCCAATCCCAGCTGACAATGGGGGAGAGGAACACAGTTATAATAATAATATGTTATTACAGGTGGTACTGATTCTGCACTCACAGGATGGCAGACGACTTCAGCCAGTCCCTCACTCCACCAGTCTCACCCTTTGCAGCAGATAGCCTGTATGGGCTGACTCCAGCCCCACCACCATGCTTTTGTTGCTCTGAAACACAGGACGACCCAACTGGAACACTCCCCACAGAGGGGTACACTGCTAGAGGCTCCCTGAAACGGTATAGTCACTGCCTGCCAGTCCACCTAATCACAAAAAACGTATTTCTCCACTTGGAGGTCAACAGTTTTCACTCTACCTATTTTGTGCCAGAGAAATAGCCCCAGTGCAAACTGCTGGCTGCAACATCTGTGGATTATCCAGAATAACTGGATCATTTTTTTCTGGAAACACACATTGCTGTTTGTTTTGCTTTTCCAAAGGTCAGTTTTGATGCTATGAGCACCACAAATGAAATTTCAGTTACATCCATTGTAATGGTAGCAGAATTCTCAGCTGAGAAAAAAAAACTGTAAATAAAGTCTTAATTGATGTGAATGTGTTCTCTCTGTAGGTTGCTGTTGTGTCTTGACCCAGCCCCTGCAGATTATGAGACGGACACAGTGGAGATTTTTGGCTTTACCTGGGTAACAGAGACAGCACTGGTGGAATCTACAAAGCTACTGTTTTGTCTGTTCAGGTACACCAAAATGTAGAACAGATTGTGGTTAAGTTTGCTTTTTTTTTGTGAATTTGTATTTCTGCTGCCACCCTAATGTTAAGGTCCCTTTTTCCAGCAGCAGTTAAAGCTTAGTGCAGTAGCTTAGACACAGTAGGTCTTTCACAGTAGGTCTAATCTATATTTAATTTATAATGAATTATTAATTGAGAGTTTCTATTTATCTGCCATGATTCATTCACATAGAAATCAGTGGTCTTATTTGCATTTTGTTATATTTTAGACAAAGGGTTTACAGGTTGGAGACCTTGGTGCAGTCCAGCTCACATGACTTTGGTAAGCTTGTATATATACATGTAATTCACAGTCAAACTATTATTAGGTTATTAATTGAAAAGTTGAGTGTGTTCCTTTAGACATATCCAAGTATTAATCTGGTTCTCTTAATATTCAGCTTTCCAGCTGTTCCATATAATGACTACATTCATCATGTGTTTTAGGTCAAGGAGGGAACCTCCACTACGAAGCAGAAGACCTCAGACAACAGTGTGTTTCATTTCTTCAGTATGTCAAAGTTTTTGTACACAGGTAATTCTACATAATTAATGATAACATTGGCAGCACTTTTTAAAATGGTTTTATCTGTATTATAATGTCATGTATTCTCCTGCTTTTACCGCATTTGATTTTTATTTTTGACATGCATTCCTCATTATGTATGTTCAGATATCTGGAACCTTCTAGCTCCTTGGATGCAGGCCCATCCCACCTCTATGAGGAACTGGAAGCTCAGCTCCCTTCTTTTCTTCTGGAGGAGCTGTTTGGCATCACTCTCCTCATTGGACGACTCAAAGATCTGCCTGCCAATGTTCAGAGTGCCTTCACTATGCAGAACTATGGAAAGGTACTGCTGAATATGAGTTAGCCTTCATAGATCTGACTCTAGCACAGAAAAAGCATACATTACATGGGCATCAAGCTATACCGTGAAGGGGACAGGGCTTGTACAAAGGTGCAACAAAAAGCGCATATGGCATAGCTGTAGTTAGAAAATCATGTAAACTGTTAAGAGGAATTTTTTTCATAGCCTTTACCTACTAGTTCTCACTATCCATATGTTTTTCCATTATTGACACTGAACTGGGCTCTCTGCATTCTTTGACAGATTTTTCCTCCCTCTTGGCATTTGCTACACCTTCATCTTGACATCCACTGGTCAGTCTTGGAGATCCTCCACCTACTTGGTCACAAGATGCAAGGTATGTGTCTGCTTGCACCAGGATACTCAGAAAGAAAAAATATTGAAATGTAAAATGGGTGTTTTGTGTATTATATTGAATCATAATGATAATAATGACTTTTTGTAATTTGACCTGTTCTCCACTCCAGGCCAGGTGGTGTACGCCCACCAGTTTGTGAACCTGACAGGCGAGAACCTAACTGATACCAGTCTGTTTGAAGAACACCTGTGCAGTCTGCTCTGTGATCTCACCAGTCTAGCCATAGGCAAATACAGCAAGGTGGGCGGCTGTCCACAAATCATTACATGCTACCGTTGAGCTCCACCAGTGGTATTATTAGCTGAAATATCACTGTGATTCTGATGTATTTACAACTTTTAGTGCCCATTTAGAAGAAACTGGTTGGAAGCTGTGTGGAGCAAGCTGTCTACCAAAAATATTTATTGTAAAATAGAGCTGCAGTTGGAAGCTTACTGAGTTAAATGGATCCTGCTGATTTCTAGGTAAGGCCTACCGAGGCTCTAAGCAGCCATCACTACCTTTGCTCCTGCACCAAAGAGCTGTGGGTCCTTCTCATGCACCTACTGGAATACAGGAATAAAGTGCTGCACACACAGGTAAAGCAAGTGCACACATGTTCACAGTCACACAATTAAATATGATTGTGTCTGTACTAAATTGGCCAATGTGTGTTTCCCATTATCCCCTCAGTCATTTTGGAGCTATATGAGCTCATTGCTGAGGCCCCTGGTCTCAGGGAAGCCTGCAGCAGAACAGTTCCACGGCCTCCCCACTCACTGTAAAGACCCTCTGGGGTTCACTTGGTGGCTGGTCACACATTTGGCAATGTTAGGCCAGTACAGCTGTAATGGCTTGATCCAGAATGAGGTAAGAAGCTGAGAATCATAATATTCTTACCTGCAGATGTTACACTGCATAAAACCTGGGTGTATTATAGGGTTACCATAGGAAATACTGAGAGATGTATTTCTGGCAATTTGAACTTTGTTTAAAATATCTGAAACATATAATATGCACTTGGTTTATCTAAACCACATGTACCTCTAATTCATCTACATTCATTGATAACTGATGTTAGACTCATCCTAAATCTAAGCATTAATCCCTCCATCAAATATGGTCAGCTTTGATTCGAAACATTAGAAGAATTTAGTTTTAACAATAATGTAATACTATATTTTGACATCGACTTCACCTTAGTGAATTCTTCATTGGACTGAAGTTGTAGTTCAGATAAAGATACTGTATTTTGTCACTCATCTTACTGCCACAGTAAGATACACATTTCAAATTTCACATTTTATATATCAATATTTGAAACAGCTTCGCTTTATATTTATTCCATGTAAAAACTGCATCACTAATACCAAGCAGCAGGGTTAGCAGATTTATTTCTGTAGTCAGACTCAAAATCATGTTGAGCTTACAAGAAATTTCATATCAGAAGTTCAGGATTTTATGACAGGACCATAGGCAATGTGTGAGGCTGTCCAGAGGCATGAATTTACTGTACCCACTGGGTCCTACATGCACCCTATGATTTATCTTGAGTTGCAGAGCCTTAGTTCTGTTACAAATACTTATTGAGAATGAGTTTATTCAGACATCTTCCTACATTTACATTGCTATTTGAGTGTTCCTTTTCCTGAGTCTTCCTTAACTGCCCAGTGTTAGTGTTTGAATAGTCTCTGAGAGTATCATAGAGAGTATTGTCTTTGGATATGTATATATAGTTTTCTATTTGTGACAGACTGCAATTATGAAGTAATTTAGTGTCCCTTCATACATGATCCCTTATTTGTAAGTATCTGAAAAAGTCCTTTTAAGGAATGTTATGTTGCTCAGATATTTTTTCAAAGCACACTGGGGTTGGCCCTTCAGTTAGATGGTATAAGCAGTCCAAACCAATAATCACCCACGAGTCCATTATTGGGCTAAGGGCTGAGGTCAGCTTGTCCCTGCCTTCCAAATGTCTGGCCGCTCCCCATGCTTTGGCTGTGTTAACCACGACATGGTTATCACAGCACGTTGTACTTGTTTTAGGCTTTTGAAAAATAATAGGTTTTACAAGGGGTATTTTCATGGTGTAACTTTTATATCTTACCAGATTGAATGAGAGTCTGGGTACATCCAACAAGCTATGAAACGTAAATGAGCACTCAGCTGATATTTCCTAATGTCAGATAGATTGTCCTCCTTGGCCTGTAATTGAAGTGTGGAAATTTTTAGGTGTTTTTTTTTTCTATATAAAAGAGCTGAATTCCCTATTATAATTGAGAAAAAAGGACTGCCATGTTCTGCAAGGGGGTCTTCAATTTTGGCATAAGTGTCCACTTGGACTCAAGGATCAACTAGATTTTGGTAATTGAAGGTCAAAGGTCAAGGTCAGTGACCTCATCTCTGTCCCATTCCCATGAATTTGACTGGTTGGCGGAGGCATATGTCTGTAAAGCGGTCATTCTGGTTTAGAAATAATTTTGGCAGTAACAAGTCATTAGAAAGCAGGTAGTCTGATATCAGGTCTGATCTATTTTAGCCTTAATTATACAGGTGACAAAACTACCATTTCATAGATATTCTCACAATTAATCTTTACAGTATGATTAATAACTATTGATATGTGTTGTTTGTTATTTTAAATACTACATCTTGCTTTGGCTGCATCCACAGAAACATCTGAAGCATAACTGGGCTTTTGTTGAAGAGTTGCTCAAGTTATCTTGTAACCCCAAGGTCAGCACTACTTCCATTAATGACTTATTTTTAACCTTAAAAAATGTATGGTTTATTTGAAATACACTTTTAGTAGCTATGTATTAAACCGAGCAGCACTCATTTGTGTGTGTAATAACAGGGAGGTCTAGCAGAGGAGCAGATTAGGATGCATGTCCACTGCTGTCTCAGTCTCCTTCTGCTGTGGGAACCGAGCACCAGCGCCGTCTCCATACTGTGGGACTATTACAGCAAGAATCTGGTGAGGACAAACCTCTACATGGTCTAATAGATAATAAAAGTTGCACAAATATGATATGTTACTGTGCCTCAGTCATTTCTGCTACAATCCTACCACATTCAGCTCGGGTTTTTTGAGATGATATATCATGTATTTTGTCCCGGGCTTCATTGTTCCCCTTTTGCTTTGCTGCTGTCATTTTAGCAGCTTTACTCTACATGAGGAAATAAGGGGTTATTGTCATGTTATTAAGTAGGTTGCTAAAACTGGCCATGCCAGACATTTTCCAACGACCCCACATAGTTACATCATCTTCTGTTCCTTTGCTCCAGAATGCCTCATTCTCTGTGCCCTGGCTCGGGATGTCTGGTCTGGGCACTTTGTGCAAGACACCTCTGGCTCTGTTGGAGCAGGCCCACAGCTGCTGCTGCCCTTCTCCCCTCCAGTCTCCAGGACACACCCAACTCTACCGCTCAGCCAACTCCTTCCACATCTTCCTTCGACTGTTGGCCCTGTGCCTTGCCCAGGACAGGGCTGGTGGAGTCCCACAGAGACAGATCAAAGGAAGGTATGAATGGAGAGAAGTCTTAAGAGGCTTTGTAGTTCTTGTTCCTTCACATTCACCATGAAAACTATGTTTCACAACCACCCAGTTAACTTAACACCATATATAGAGCATATAGGTTTTTGGGGGGTGGTGCAAAATGTTTAATTATATTGGGTCTAAGATCTGTGAGGTTCCTTTTTCCCTTGATCTTCTAGTGTGTGATGTCTATAGTGTGATATGTTTGGATTTGTGTGTGTGTGTGGGGGTGCATACTTGCATGAATACACAAACGGCATGTGTTTGCACACTATCATACATTTCTGTCTTGTTTGTGTGTGTGCCAGGTGCACTGCATTTTCCCAGTGTGTCTTTGATATTTACTCAGGCCCCCCAGTGGAGCAGGTGTCTCAGGAGTCAACCACCTGCTATTCAGAACAGACTGGAGCCAAGGAGCCTCCTACTGATGCACACACACACACTGCACCTGCTTCAGAGTGTGTGAGGCTATTGGATAGAGGGAGAGCGTGTGTCTTTGTGAGGGAAAGTAAGAAAGAGGAGAGAAAAGATCACAAGCGGATGTGCACTGCAGAACCGAGCACCGGACCATTCTATATCCCAGGCCGGCTGGGTTGAGGCAGCCATAAATAAATCCGCCTAATGACTTCCCTCTGTCTGGAATGTGCTCAGTAGCACTGCAGACATGGAGGCTAATTAGCTAACGAGCATGGCGGTTAATTCGCCTTAACAAAGCTGCTTTGGTTTCCAACGCGGATAGAGAGAGGAGCAGGGGGATGTGGGTGGTAGGCAGTCTGGCAACAGCCAGGCTGGACTGGGACAGGTCCAGATTCTTTCCCTCCACTTCTCCACCAAAACTATCACCACTACCTCCTCACCCTCAGGAGTCATGAGGCGTGCAGACTGCATCGCTCCAAAGTTTCGGCATCATTCCCACTCTTGCCCAGGCACTGTGGGACACCTGTGACGACTGCATTAATGGGATCAACTGTGAGCATGTTGATCTCCAATGGCGGGAGTTAGAAGCATCTGCTTGCCTCCGGGAAAAAAAGAAGCTGTCCAGAATAAACAAACAGACAGGTTGGGAGAACACAGAAAATCCTCACGGAAGCCTCCTAGTCATCCCAATGCACTGCTTATATCCCTGTTACATATTACCCATTTATCTATGTAATCTCCCTTTTCTCCCTCTGGCTGCATGCTTGGCCACCTTCTTCTTTTATAGTCCTCTGCAGTTGAAACTAAAGACTTTGGTTTTAACCTGGCCTTTATCAATTTCTCTCTTGTTTTTCTCCACTCCTTATATATCAGTCTTACTTCTTACACTGAGTTTGTCTTGGGATGGTGGCTGTTTGTGTTTTGACCCAAACAGTGGCTCTACTCACCTGTGTGGGCTGCATCAATGTTTGGGAGGTGGGGTGGGCTCTAGCCTTCTGTGTTTTCCTGCCAGACGAGCAAACAGCAAGCTGAATGTGTGGCAATGCGTGTGTGTGTGTGTGTGTGTGTGTGTGTGTGTGTGTGTGGTTTTATTGATCTCTCTCTGGTGTTGCAGTAAATTGGTTTGGCTGTAGAGAGAGGGACCAAGCGCCTACTGCTGTGTGTCTGAGTGTCTCTGACATTTAACATGATCTTTAAAGGCATTTCTCCACAGTGCCTGCAGGATCTAAAAACGTGCTGGGTGGTTCTCTATTCTTCCTCCCTCTCTCGCTTTCTCTTGCTCTCTCACCCACATGCACTGGACACACTTAGGCCGGGCAGCCCGGCTTCTCCCCTGGAGTGTGATACAGGCAGGTGGTGGGGTGCATGGTGGGAGTGGAAAGTTCAGTTAGTCAGCAGTTTCAGAGAACAAATCACCTCTGATGAGTTGGTCAGTGGAAGTAAAGAAATCATTGAAATACGATTTAAAAAACAGCTATTTAACCTTGTTCTCCCAGATTAAAGGATATTGTAAAGAGCACACACTCTAATCTGTCTGTGGCCACCTTTTCCTCTAGCTGTCCATCTTTTGTGCCAGGCTTTAAAGCCTTTGATTTTGCATACCTTCACTATCCATTGTGTTTCCAGGATTTACTCCAAGTTCTTCCCAAAGAAGATGCAGGAGTTGTCGGAGGCAGGCCTCATGAACTTCCTGCTGCTGTTTCTGGTGGTGGCCCACCAGGTAGACCTGGAGGATGTAGCCAGCAGAGTCTCTGAGCTGTTAGGCTTCCTTCCCTCTAACTGCCCCCTTGGGCATCGCACCTTGGTTTGGAGGGGACACCTATCACTGCTGTTGCTGTTCCAGGTATGTTTGCTAAACGAAAAAGAAATGTTTACCAAATTAATGTGTAACTTTATCGGTACAGGCCAGGCATACAGCAAACTTTTTTTAAACTAATTTCACCAGTTTATATATTTGTAACATTATGTGACCTTTGTTCCAGAAGAGGGGTCTGGACGTGGGTGCCCAGGCTAGCTGGGTGGCTTGCTCCTTTAATGAGACAGCCAAAGAATTCTACAATAAGGACACCGAGGTATCTCGCAGACTTGCCCTCTGGGGACCGCTTGGCTCCTATCTGGAGGGTGTGACCGAGGTGTTTGAGACGAGCACCAGTCTCACTCTGTCGGAGGAAAAGCTGCTAAACGAGGGATTTGACTGGTTGCTGCCTGCTTGCCACCAGTCAGAGCTGAATTCTGCCCTGGGCTTTCTGCAGATTGTCCTTGCCCAGCTAAGGTGAGACAGCCGGTGTAAATATTCACCAGCTCCTAGGTATCTCAGTTTCTCTCAATTTTTTCTTTACTGATAACTGCTCCCTCATAGACACATTCAGACAAATGTTTTCTGTGCCAAGGCCAAGCTAGGCTTTTATTAAAATCTGATAAGTGGCCACAGCAGAGGAGAGTGATCTCTTCTGCTCATCCCAACCCAGAGTCAACTCATGTCTCATACTGACAATAGCTGGATTGTGCTGTTAGCAGGAGTGAATGTCTGTAAAGACCTTGTGTGGTGTTGAGGCCCCTGATTGTCTCAAGAGGTCTAGTGGCCCCCGGGTCACCCTCACCAGGTGCTGCCAGAGCCCTGAGTAGAATTACAGACCCAAGGGACCCTCCATGGACCCTCCTGTGGTCATGGGGCCAGCAGTAGTGCAGTGGGTGTGTTGAGAGACTGTATCAGGATGAGTTCAGTTGTAGGACACGGGTGTTTGTTACATGAGCAACCCCAGCCGAAGGTCAGAGCGCCACTGTTGAAACAGTGCCTGTTTATGCTGGGGGAGGAGGAGGTGGGAACAGAGGCGACAGTAGATAGAAGTCAGGTGAAACTGTAAAGTTATGGAGTGAGAAATGATGTGTGATCTTGTGGTGCACAGTAAATTCATCTCAGCTAAATCAAGTGTTAAAGACCTTGCTGTCATTTTGCTTGCCAGTCTTTACTTTTGCAGTAATGTTTACTCTCCATTAAAACATAAAAATAGTGAGTAGTATTTAATATGCTTAAAGTATTATTGAAATTTTGAACATCTGACTTAGCTTGCCTAAATTTATTTATGATGGCAGTGTCATCACAAAGTGTGCAACAGAAACCAAGTGCTAAGATTAACTTAGAAAAGTAAAGTCAAGCAAGTACAAGGGCTGGGTAACAAAGTGGTTTGATGCTTGTGCTGATATAATACAGTTCTTTTTACCTTACATTTAGAAATAAACCTTTTTTTTTTCCTACAAAACTCTTATTTTCATTTGAAACAAGCCAACTCTTTCAAATATAAATCCTGTTTACATATATCGCTGTGTAAGAACACTGCTCTAATAAAATATTTAAAATTGTTAGTTATTATTAACCTGGACTAACCGATTAACAAAACGGGAACACAGTGCTGGCATATTAGCACCTCAAGTTGTTATTCCATCAGTTGCCATCGTATCCGGCTACCTGGGTAATGTGCACTAGATTCAAAATTTACTCTCCTTTAATTTCTATTGCTAAGTACTCCACTATGATCACCAAGTAGTTGCTTCCATTGTCATTCATTTGGGTTTTTTTTATTATCAGTTGCTGGAAATGGCACTGATGATAGCGGAGAGTGGGAAGAGTTCTGGCCCACAGAACCAACACAATGAGCTGAAAGATGCTAACGTGCTCCATAGAGCTGAGGGGAACTGCGGCGTTAAAATCATCTGTGAGTTCATCAGTGACACCTTCCACATTAGTCATTCCATCAACCGTTGATATGAAAATATTGATGGTAGCAGCTTTATATCAGAAGGTGGTCAAAGATTATGCAAAGAGGATCTGAGTAAGCATTCAGTGCCAAATGTAGCACTTGATATTTTTCGATATTCATTGCCGCAGACACGGCAGTAGGTTCCATAAAAGCATTTATATTCAACCCTATGTAGTACATACCATATCCCTGGTTTTGCTGAAATGCATGTGATTTTTTTTAAAGTGTCTGTCAGCCCCTATATATACTTTGTTCTTGTGGCATTTAGTAAGCACCAAAATTATTACTGCAACCACTACTTTATACTTGCAGTATTTACATCTATCCATCTATTATCTATACCACTTATTCTTGAACGGGGTCATGGGGGTGCTGGAGCCAATCCCAACCGACATTGGGCAAGAGGCAGGGTCCACCCTGGACAGGTCGTCATTCTATCACAGGGCTGACATGTAGACAAACAGCCACACACACCCACATTCACTCCTAGGGGCAATTTAGAGCCACCAATCAACCTAAGCTGTGGGAGGAAGCTGGAGTACCCGGAGAGAACCCATGTAGGCACAGGGAGAACATGGAAACTCCACACAGAAAGGCCCCGGGCCGGTCTGTACTCGGAACCTTCTTGCTATGAGGCGACAGCGTTAAGCACTGCGCCACCATGCTGTCCCTATACTACTTACAATAGGTGATAAATTAACTGAAACACTAGAATAAGGACATTGTAAAGTTAAGTGTTACCAAGCACTCTCACTGTTCTATGTAGGTATATGATTGCCTTTATTCTCCAGTGTATATGTTCCACTCTCTCCACCCTGCCCACACACCAAAAGTGAAACACTAACCCAAGTGTACTGCTCTCTTATTTCAATGCCGGTCTCTCATAACACGGTATGTCATTAGATTCACTAATTCCCAAACTTCCCATCTCAGATCTTGGGGTTGGAGGGCATACATTTGCACATTAATGGCCAAGGAGAGAGAAAGAAGAAGAGAACTCCCAGAGGCCCTCTGTGTTATGACCCGGACAGACACTGACCCATTTAACCAAATAAAGAAATACCATGCTCTCTCTTTCCAATTGGCCCTGCCAAATTAAACATAATTCTTCGGCCTGGCAATTCTTTGTGATTAATTCCGTTTTTGTGAAACAATTAATGGGTAATTTTGTCGCCTGGCAAATTTAGCTTGTGCATCATCATGTCTATTAAGAGCCATGTGGAATCTGTACACATTAAGAGAATTATTCTGCCAATGGCTGAGGCAGTGGTGGGTCTGAACGTTCACTCTTGATAGCGATTGCCATGGTGCTGAGGCAAGAAGCCAGTCGCAGGCATAATTCCTGTCCGATTCCTTCCCATGACCCTTTGCTGTGGGAGGGTGGGGGTGGCTCTCTTCAGTAGCTGATGAGGTGAGCCGGGAATGGCACACTCTGTTGGAACGGTTTTCAGTACAAACAATTATTTCCCATCCTCTTGGCTTGATTAAAATACAACCCCCCTATGAAGTGTTTCCCTTTAGGACCATTAAGACCATTTAGTAGATATGCTGAGTGTTTATGTTCACAGTCAGCAGCAGCAACTGTTAGGTACCTGATGAGAAATTTACAAAGTTATATATTTTGATAGAGATGTGCGAATAATATTAATGAGTAAGTGGTCATGGATTAAGATCAGCGTTTGCCTACATGTGTTTAATATGTTCCTGTCTGTCTTTTCTGTCTGCCATAATTAAAATGCTATATTTTTATTTAATAGATAGCTGGGGGAAGGGTTAAACGGGGACCCCTAAAGGTGTGTTGATGTGTGTGTGTTTGTGTGTAATACATTGTAAGAAGCTGCTGTGAGGAGGATTAAGTGGGCTCTGATGATGTCTTGTACAATGAGGGTTGATGGGTGTGAAAGGCCCATTCCAGAGTAGTAACGAGGCTAATGAATTCAGACTCTAATCGATTGTTTCAGCTCTCTCTGGATTAGATGCAACCTTGCTGGAAGGGAAGGTACCATTGAGGTGTGTGTGTGTGTGTGTGTGTGCGCCATAGTAGCAGACTAGAGTGTTTGGTTGAGGATGGGATTCAGTAGGGGTTTTGCTAGTTCCTCTTTCCTCCTTTCCCAGCACACCTCAAGCCCTGCATCCCCACACCCCCATCTGGGTGAATGAGGGGGACAGGAGGATCATCTCCAGTCTAAATGAGATTACAGCTCCTTCAGCTGCTTATCTGGGCTAATGCCAGCCACTGTGGGACTGCTGTAGTGGCTGGGGCCAGGGATGAGCCAGAAGTGCCAAAGTATAGGCTGTGTACAGGGGATCAGCATTAGGCTCTACTCTATGGCTACAATACCCTCCTCTCCTTCCACCCAGCTCTGCTCCACAGTGAAGCGCACCACCGCACCCAGTAATCCCCCAGGAGAGAAGACAGGGAAAACACATAAAGAAGTAAAAGAGAGAAACAGAGGAGCAAAAGGATTTGAGAAAGTAGGGGGCTATAAGGGTTGTACACAACAGGCAGTGTTGTGTTTGGATTTTGCATCAGTTACAGATTTGTTTACCTGCTTTCTTTGTGTGTGTTTATGTGTGTGTCCTTCCAGACGGGTCCATCAGTGCAGTGTCCAGTCAGCACTCACCTTGGCCTGGGCTGCTGTTACTCCTAATGCGGTGAAAGAGCGCCACCTAGCGGTAGCAGCAGCACTCTGGGCACACTTCTTCCCCTTCCTGCGCAGACTGTGCCTCTCGCAGACCCCTCCGGCACAGCTGGCAGATGCTGCTGCAGGTCAGAAATGCTCCCAGGGAGGAAAAAGACACTGAGTGGAAGGAAGAAAAGGCTGGAGTGAAACAGGGTGGAGAAGAGCAGGGAGAGTTTTGGGACAGCAGTTTGTGGCAGATGATACCGGTCATTTTGAATTAACACCATCATTTTACATGAAGGCGGAGAAAGCAAATGACAGTTTTAGCAGAGACAAGGCCATTAGTAGTTAGGGAGGAGGATACAATGATTTCAGGGCTGTAACGATTCAGAGAACATGGGAAAGAAAGTGTATACTCGAATAAGTCAGAACATAGCTTGTACACTGTACTTTTATCATGCATGTATCTACTTTCTAATAATTGCCACAAAAGTGACAGATTTTTATCTTTCTCAGGATTCACCCTGCTTGCCTTTGACCTGCCCAGCTCTGTCCCCCAAGACCTTCAGCCTAACCCAGTCCAGTCCATCATGCAGTGCTTTGGCTGGGACGACATGGTTCACCCACTCCTGGTGACTCGCTACCTTCCCCATCTACTCCAGAACAGGTACAGTCACACTTTCAGATCTACTCCTTGTGGCTGTACCTCAATCATAAGCCATTTTTGCCTCATCACTCTTGATGGAAAAACAGCCGCTCAGTCAGACTGGGGTGATTTACTTCTCTGTTCCTGTCAGCTGTCAAGCTTCATCATATGGTGCACCACTTGACAAAATCATTTTCTACAAGTCCCATTGGTATATTGGAAATTATATAATTAATAGATTAGACAGTGAGCGTCCTTGGTGTTATGAAAACAGGTTTCAATGAAGAAATTACACCATGCCTCTAAAGAGAATGCAAAATGTGATGCATCTTTGAAATTACACTCAAGGGTACGAAACATCGTGACTGTTTCACCCTCAAAGGTCCTCTTCAGACAGTGCTCTGTGATATTAAGGCACTACACAGGAATATAAGGACAGAACAAGGACACTGCATGTATTTTTTGTGTATTAGTACCGGCCTGCAGAGCCTCCTTTCTCTACAAATATGTGATTTCTAAAATGAGCTAATGGTTTCATTCATGTGAAAATATTATTAAATTATATTACCTCCCTCTCTCATTAAAAACCCTTAGGTCAGATGGAAAGAGGCATTTGTCTGTTTTACAGACAAGGAGATGTCAATTCTTATGCTATTTTGCATAAAAACTGTGACTTTCCATAGACAGAATACACACATCAGAATACAAAAAAATACCACTGCAGAATGATGAAGCATTAAATGTAAATTTTAACACTGACATTAATGTATCTGTGCTTACAGTATATGGCTTATGTTTAGAGGGTGGATACCCAAACCGAGCCAATGAAACCTGTCGGTACCCAGAGGTTTGGGTCGGGTTCAGACAGAAATCATGTTCGAGGTTCAGGTTGGATTCACTCACATAGGTCAAACATTAGACTAAACAGGTGTAACTGTACTTGGAAATGAATCTCTGCCTTTTCTTTAGTGTAGGCAAATTTACAGTGCTAGGCCTATAGAAAATTAAAGTGATGAGCTGGTTAAGTGCACAACACTGGTTTCCCTGATTTTAGATGCACAAGGGCCATAAAAAACATTGTACCAACTCAGCGGTTAAGTGCACAACACTGGTTTCCCTGATTTTAGATGCACAAGGGCCATAAAAAACATTGTACCAAGTCAGCTGTGTTGGGCTCAGGTCAGGTTTGGACAGAAATATGCAGCCTACTTATGTTATCCCCTTCTTTTGGGTCCTACTTCTTTCTGTCTGCATATTGTCTTTGTTTATCAGGAATGTTTGCTATTTCTTCATAGGCCAGTTAATACAGTAGTTCCTTATAACTACATTTTACATTTAAGTTCAGTGATTGCCTCTGCGTCTGTCTTTTCCAGTGAGCTGGTGTCCTCACTAAGCAGTGAGTCTGGCGTTGTGTCAGGTTCTGCACAAAGTCTGTCAGTGAGGGCCTGGTTCAGATGTGTTCTACAGCAGTACCTTCACAAGAATGCAGATGGGTTTGACAGCAGAACAGGTACTATCTATGGTACTGTAAATCTTCACCCTACAGTGTGTTGAATAAAAAATTACCCACTGTACACAGGACAGGATTTCCTCTAGGAAATTTAATTTCTGGCACAAACTCACACACAGGGCATGAAAGGTCACTGAATGTTTTGGTGAGTATGAAAGTGATGTGAATCATATGGCCTTACAGTCACCAGATCTCAGCCCAGTTGGACATCTGTGGGGGATTTTGGACCAATCTGTGCCATCATCAAAACATCAAATGAGGGAACGAATATTTTTTGGAACATGGTGTTCATCCCTCCATTAGAGTTCAGAGACATTTAGAGACGATGCCATGGTGTACTGAAGCTGTTCTGATGGAACATGGTGGTCCCACACCTTACTGAGACACTTTTTTAGCTTATGTTCATACATTTAAACCAAACTGGACACAGATATTTGTGCCATGAAGAGGTTTTTGAGCTGAAAAATTACATTGACATACTTAGAGGTAATTGCATTTTAGGTAGTAAACACAACAATCCAGAGCACCCTTTCATGCCAGGACCAAAATGTCCTCCCACAATATCTTTTTTTCCTTAAAGCCTTTTTTTTATACAAGTGTGAGTGTACTCCAAGCACAAATACTTAAAATGCATTACCGCGACTCTGCTCTAAATTAAATGTATTCTTCCAGTTTAATAAAATCTTAAATGTACCTTCTTGACTTGTATTAAGAAATATGAAATATACAATCATTTGCACACTGAGTGTATGTGCCTGCGTTCTCCCAGGGCGTGCTGTGGAGGAGCAGTTGTGTGAACTGACCCGGCTTGTCCTGAGGCTCCCTGAAGTAGAGAGTCTCCTGCAGAGAGCTGGCCTCCAGCCCACAGCCAACAGGCCTGAACCCACTACAGTCCTGGAGGTGTTTGTCAAGGTAACACATGCTCACAGGTGACAGTTATGCAGGAGTATGTTAGCAGTATCAGCAAAGTAGTTATTGTGTCTGTGTGCGTATGGAAATTTTCTGATGTATTCTGCGCATAGCACTGTCATACCTGGTCTCTTTTCCAGCAACCTGCATTGACATGCAGATGTTTTCATCAGTTCCTCTCCTTATCTGCTTGATTATGGTGTCAGGCTATAGGCAGAGTGTACAGTGGGTTGCAGGTTTTGAATGAGCGTTCAGCCATGGTGACCAGAGCTCTGAACTACATCGGAGACATCCTCAAACACATTAAACCCTGTCTGCTCAGCAAGAACCAAGAGGGATTGCAGCTAGCCTATTGGGCTGTTGGTAAGTGTAAAGCCCATATACCTCAAACACAGTGGACAACACATAAATCTTCTCGAGTTCTTTGTCTTTTTTGTTTTTACAATATGGTGCAAGTCATAGGCAGAAGTAAGGAATTAAAATTTCCTGTATTCTGTATGATCTAGGCTGCATAGTGAAGTACTGGAGCCCCCTGCTGGCCACATCTAAAGCCCAGCAGCTGCTCTGCCGCATCGTGGATGTGCTACTGCTTCCCCACAACCTCACACAGCGGGACAAAGCTCTCAGGGACAGCCTGCCATTGTATCTACAGGTTAGGACAAACGTGTACTGTACATAGACTCAGGCCTTGGACAAACAGGAAACACAGCAGGCTCTAAAGGTGTTAGGTGTTGTGAGAGGGAATCAAAATCCTCATCAAAACCCTGTCATTGCTCAGTTGTCTGTAATTTGTTCATATTTCCATTCTGACACTTTTAATGTGTTCTTGTACAGGGTTTGTTGGTGGCATCCAATGTTTCACAATCTCTCGGTGCTCACCTGAAGAAGCAGCTCCGCTCAGTTATCTACAAATACCTAGACCATTTCCTTCCTGCCTCACCTTCCATGGGCAACATCGCTAACCACCCTGTGCTTCTGGGTGCCTGTGAGGCCAGCCCGACTGCCCAGGGGGCAGCACTGAGGAGGACCGTCCTAGAGGTGCTTTGGTAGGTCCCTGGAACTAGAATCTTGTTTGCCTTTTGTATCCCAATTAACCAGCTGACTTTCCATAAATTTCCATATCCAGATTGGATTTGGATATGACTGACAAATCAATGCGTAAGGCTGACGGAAACAGACAAACTCAAACAGATTGTCATCTTAGATGTGATGTTTATTCACTTCCTGCAGTTTTAATCTCATTATTGTGAGCACATTCTTGTTGATTTGGGTTTTTTGTCTCTCATTAAGTTTCTCTATAAATACATTTCTTAAACTATGCAAATTATTTTCACAACGAACACTGGTTGGAAATGTCCCTGTCTGGTTTTACAGTGAGAGCTTCTTGCAGTTTAAAGGTCATGCCCCTCCACCTCGCCTCTCTTCAGTCCTCATGTTCCTGCTAGAGCTTCTGAGACGAAACAGCGACTCAGACCCCACCCATCTCACTCTGGCCCTCCCACCTCTGCTACGCTGTGTGATGCTGGTTAATGATCCACAGGGTGAGTGATGTTTAGCCATTACACACACACACAGAACAATCTGAAAAGTAGTTTTTCTACATCATATGTGAGTATTTTGATATAGATGGCATCTCTAGGCTCATATGGTGCTTAGTGAGGCTTGGATTGGCCTTCAGAATATGTTCGTCTCCTGTTCTAGGATCTGGGAGTCATTGTTTCCCAGCAGATGCAATCAGTTAATGCTGTGAAACTTTTCTGCATGACCCCAGATACCGCCCTCTTGTAGCAAGGGAGATGTGCCATGGTGTTGGCCCAGTGTTTCATTAAAACCAGTCAGTAACCTGAAGTTTTCTTTACTGTGGTGGTGATAACAGTATGTTTGTATTATGACTGCAGTTTTCATTAATCACAACAATTATTCTTCAGGCGCGTTTTTTGCAACTTCACTTCAGTATCAAATCAGTAAAAGCTATAATCATATTGTCATATCATATTATCAGTGAGATGATGGCAAATATATTCTTAATGCTTACATATTTTTATCAGCACTAGTTTTGGGGCAAATTACACAGAAAAAAACTTTCTGACAATCAGTTTTGTGTACAATAATCACTGAATAACTGTCTAATAATATCAGTGTGATTATTTTTTTGTGCAGTGAGGAAGACGAGCACAGATGCCATACAGCTTGTGGTGGAGCGATGCGGTGCTGCATCTACAGAGGGACCGTGTGACCAGATGATTACTGCCTTACGGTAATAGACTATAATGAATACCAATAACTAGCCACACATGTATTAGAGCTGTTTGGTGTTGTGCACAGGAATCACAAACCTTCATATAAGAACTGAAGGCACAGAGTAAATCTCTCTCTGTTGCATTGAAGCCTTCATGGTTTCCATTGTCTTTGTCACTGTGATGCTCCCAGGTCATTTGTGGAGGAGAATGAAAGCACCTATGACAGACAGGTCTACAGTGTTTTAGAGACGCTGGCTGTTTTAGATCCGTCCGTGGTTCAAGCTCTCATTCCCCACCTGTCTCTCAGTCTCAGAAACACCGAACACAAGAGAGGACAGGGCAGGAATATCGCCCTGAGGTGAGCGAGCATGTGAATCACATCCCGGAAGCCACATAGACAGTGTTCATCACCTTACACTATTTTTAAGTTGTCTAAACAATAAGGAGAATTAGAAATATTCTTTAACTGTATTTTTTATGTGTCCATTAATGTGACTACTCTGTCTCTCTGTCTAACAGGAGTGCATATAGGAAGTTGCTGTGCCTGCTTGGGGACAGTGGGCAGGCTGAAATAACCAGTTTGGAAGCAGACTGAAAAGTTTTTTTTTTCAGCTCCATGAATGTCTGAGTAGACATTTTGTTTTGGCCACATTTCTTGATTTGATCACCAGAAAGGACATGTTACAAGGGGATCTTATAAAATATGAGGCTCAAGAGCTCTAAACCATCTGTGATCATGCTAAAACCTAAACCACAGTTATAACACTGTGGAAAAAAAATACAGCATAGATAAACACAACTGGAAAATGTTTCATCAGCACTACTTAATGAGCTTTATATGTTCTTCATGCTGGAGCTCAGGATGCTCCAATCATAGACTACAAGCCTAATGTCTCCAGGTTGTATGTAAAATGTAGCTTTTGTAAAAATAAAAAAGGTGCAGATACATTATTAATGAAATGAAATGTGAAAATAAATATGAATGTGTTCACACCAGTCCCTCCATCTCTTCATCTCAGCTCTATAGCGAGTGAAGTGTGGAATGTGAGCCTTAAAGTGAGCACGGACTATTTGTACTTATACCATCAGGTGCTGGATCTCTCTCTCTACTCGCATGGCACTCTGAATTACAGATTTGATGACAGTCGTGGGCGAGCCTAAAGAGTTCAGTAGCAAAAAAAAAAAAAAAAAAAAAAACAAGTAAAGGAGAGGAGCACTGTTTGTTCCAGTTCTCTCTCTCTCATCTTTCCAAGTCACAGCAATTTCTTGCAATCCGGGTTTAGTTTGCACCTAATCACGTGAAGTCTCACTCCTGTCTCCCAGTCATCAAGTCCCATTTCCTGTCATTGCTAGTCATTTTTCAGCCTCATCAGACTGCAATGCATCCCTTCATCAGAGCAGCTTTCTATAGTGCTGTCCTCCTTCTTGCCAGCAGAATCAGGGGTGGTCGGAGAATTGATGCAGAAGGATGGCAGTTGAGGTGATAATATATTTATGGTGATTTGTATAGAGACTTAAATTGGTGTCCCTATGTAATGCTGCTAAATAATTCTTAGAGACTAGTTACAGTCTTCATTAAAATACATTCCAACACTACTTATTTATGTAGCATATTTATTCTAAAACCTTTCTATGAATTCTTTCAGACACAGTGGGAGAGATGAGGGAAGTGCAGGGATCACGTTTTCTCTCGGTCACAGTATGTGTTTGAAAATCAACATAATACAATATTATCATATCATATACACACTTTGGAGACTATTCAGCATGTATTCTCTGAATAATGACAATAACCAGACATTCATTTGAACATGAACGGTCTTAGGTCCTGAGCATAATAAAAATCTCACACTCACACATAAGTTGACACACATACAGTAGTCTGTCACTGCTGTTGAAAGAAAAAAAAATTAAGGAACTTATTTTATTTAATATGACCTAAAAAAATGACCTGGTCATTTACGCACTGATGAGCTTCAGCCTCAAGCACTTGACACTTGTTAACCCGATCTGTAATTTCCAAGTACATGAGAGTCAATGAGAGAGCAGGCTTGTGTGTTTTTCAGGCCACCAAAGTGATCGTAATAGTTTGATGGAAATGTTACATAGTTATTTTATCTAGAAAAAGGAGTTTCCTTCAACGTATGGACAAACAAGTGATTCAGTAATACCTGCTTACTGTAAGTCACTTAACTGGTAATAGGAGCAGCATGTTATTCCTGTCTTTTGAGGGAATTCTAATCCCTGCCGAGTTGTTTAAATATGCTCCTCACGTCTTCACTGGACATCATGAATGGCGCGTTGGTCTTTGGGGTAATGCTGCATTACTGTGAAAGCTGTTGCTCTTGCAGAATAGCATGGCTGTTGTAGATCAGAAAAATAGTGTTATTACATCTGGATGTCAAACAAACCCCTGTACAGCCCATGTTGGATGTCAAACAAACCCCTGTACAGCCATGTTACAAATGTAACAGGTTCCAGATGATTGCTATGATCAGGTGGTTTGTCAGTCAATTCTGACTGTCCAGAGTTGAGTTGACTTGAGGCTCCTCCATCCACTTATGTGTTCATGGAATTTTGTTCCTCAGTGATTTAAACAGTACCTATCCTGTGATGAGGAACTTGTAAAGTCTGTAGGTTTGGGCAAGTGAAGTAAGGAGCAGGGAGGAAACAAGTTGCTATCCCATTGGAGGCAAATGGAAGTGTTGGCCCGTAGAAAACCTCCTCCTTCCCCTGTGTGCTCAGATCCAGCACCTGGAAAGAGGATATATGGTTCTCCTCATAAACTACATTCAAGTACAGCAGCTGTAAATATGACTTAGTGGGTTGTGTAACAGGCTAGCACCATGGTTCGAGGCATGCCAATGTTGGTCTGTCTGTTGGCCAGTTCACCACTTTGTTCCAGACTGAACTACTAGTTGGATTGCCATGAAATTTTGTACAGACATAATGTGAACCCTGATAAGTTTTGGGAGCACCTGACTTTTCCTGTACCACCAGTGGCATGTGGCTTTCAGTGAAATTTCACAGCAGCTATTGGGCTGACATGACATTCTTGCCAACCTCAGGGTAAACTGTAATCACTTGGAGATTTGGTTTATGGCCAAATACCTGCAAAACTACACCCCCATCTTAGAGCTGTAATTCTTAGCCTGAACCCAACCCGACCCGACCGTCAGGCACCTGACGGGTCATTTTTACTCAGGCCGGGCTCGGGCTCGTGCGTTAAATGAGTGGTCACGTGATGCGTTTCAATTAGCGCGAGAAAGATGCATTGCGAAGAACGATGATGGATGAGGTGAAACAAAGGCTTGCCTCTGGCGTATATTTTTTGGTTACACCAGCAGCAGCTAAGTCTGAGGTGTGGCACCATTTCGATCATGTGCATAACGAGAACAATGACCCATTGGATTATGTAAAATGCAAGAAATGCAACGTTCTCTTAAAATACGACAGCAAAACAACAGGGAATTCCTCGCTGAGAAGGCATGTTGAGCGATGCTGTGTGCATGCGCCGTGCGCACATTTGAATAATGTCGGGCTGTAAACGGGTTCGGGCTATCAATCAAAAATGTACTTGTCGGGCCGGGCTCGGGCCAAATTCTGTCAGGCTCGGGCCCTGTCGGGCCTAACTTTTCAGGCCCAATTACAGCTCTACCCCATCTGCCTCAGCTGCATTTTGTGTCTTTCTTACCTTAACATGGTAAACATTATAACTGCAAAACATCAACATGCTAGCATGCTGACATTAGCATTTTGTGCAAAACACTGCTGTACCTCGGTACAGCTTCATGGTTGTAGACTCTGTCTGGTGTAAAACCAAAGGACAGACCAGTTCAGTAGTGGCAATACATAAGTTCATACATAATAAGAATTGTATTTTTCATTTTGGTTGGGATGTTACCTAAATATTGTGAACAGTCAGCTTTGTTTGTATTTCTGATAGTATTAGATTATTGGGCAATGCCAAAACATCTGCTTATGATCAGGAATTATTATATTTTTACAGTGTAGATAATGCACATTTTATTTGTCATTTAATACAATATTTCTGACAGCATTTGAAAACAACATTGTAGGCCGAGGCTGATGAACAGAGAAACGTGGTTGTAATTTAGCGCAGTGGATATTTTATAATTAGCATTCTGCTGCTTCACCTCACTGTATGAAGAGCATGTTCTCAACAGTCACTGAATTCATATCACTTTATCTGAACAAAAGACATCTCTCACCTGAATGCATGCCAGAGGCTCGTTGGTCCAAATGGAGTACCCTCCGACCACATAGATCCTGTCATCGTGAACGGCTACTCCCGACTCATTTTGACCTGAGGAGCACAGAACCAACATGATGCTTCACTGTGCCAAGCAGAGGGCATTCTGACAATATGACTTCCAAGTCCCCCAGAGGCAGAGAGAGAGATAAATGGTGAATGATGGGGCAAGGGCGGGAGTGTATGGATGGCTAAGACTGAGCTCCTGTTCTCTTTTCTGTGACTTTGTCATAAACTTTTACTAATATAACAGGAAGCAAGGATCGTGGAACAAACGAGGAAAGTCATCCAGCAAAGAGATGGAGGGAGGAGTAGTAAACTCACCTGAACTTTAAACCCTTCGAGTCTTCATTTACAATTACAACCATCCACTACAACACGAGTTCATATGGCCACATCCTAGAGTGTATGCAAAGGAGAATGCATCTCTAGTGCCTGCACTCCATCCCACCTCCACCAGCCAGGAGGTTACTGATGCAACATGCCCTCAGCTCCAAAGTAAGGCTACACAGTGTACCATGTGTTTCCATTGTATAGCATGCTACCACCCCCTCACAACCAGCAGGGGGGCATTATGGTTTTATTTGATGAGAGGATGAAGCAGAGAGCTTAAGTCAGCCTATGTTTACACACCCCACATGCAGTATTTCATTTAACTTAAAAGTGGTATATGTGTTCATGTTCAGTTAGCTTTAAAGCTAACTCAAATTTTAAACAATAAATAGGACTAAATATAGTTAAAGTTAGTAACAAAACATTATTATGTATTAAGAATTTAATACTAAAACACTGTCATGAATCAGACATGCAAAGTCATGACTAGTGCATGACAATACATGACATTATTTTTGTGAAGTAGCCTAATCAGTTCCAATTTTGTCAGAAAATTGTGCATTCATGTATGACCCTATCATCCAGAGAAGCTGATTAAGGAAGTGTGTTTTCAGGACCATTATTAGAAAAGTTGACCGCCAGTAATGTCAATCGAATATTAACTCTGCTTTTAGCTCTGTTTTGTTGACACTTTAAAGCTCCACAGAGCTGAGGGCAACTGCAGGTCAAGTAATATTTCTCTGTGGGTTTGTCCCTGCAGGCAGCCTCTTTCACATACAGGTAGTCATGTGAGCCATTGTTAATCGAAAAATATTGATTACAACAAAGGGAGAAAAAAAAAAGATTTCACCTGGTATTATCCCCAAATTCTGCTTCATCAGGATTGTATGCGTGGTTTGTTTAGTCTGTATGAAAACTGAAGCTTAAGAACCACTGAAAGTGGTTTCACACAGAATTATATGTGGGACTCTTACTTTGAAGTTGCCAAATAACCAAAATGGGCAGATTTAATGACATTTGGATGGGGCCAGGCTAGTTGTTTCCCTCAGTCTTTATGCTAGGCTAAGCTAATAGTCTCTAGACTGTAGCTTCATGTTTAGTGTACAGACATGAGAGTAGTATCAATGTTCTCATCTAACTCCTGGCAAGAAAGCAAATATAACAAGTAGTAGTCATCAGTAAGAATATGTGAGTGTGTTCTGCACATTCACATGTGTGGTTCCTTCCTTTTTGCCCACCTGTGAGGAGGCTGAAGGAGCAGCGTGTCCACTGGTCCAGGTCCATGTTGTAGGAGTCGATGTGGCGGACGAGGATGCGGTCGTTGTTGTAATCCAGGTCGTTCCCACCTAGGACGTACAGCTGTCTCCTCACTGCTGCCATGACATGGTAAACTCGCCTCTGCAACATGGGACTCCGGTCCAACCACTGGTCCTAAACGAGGTGGATGAGGGGGTTAAAGTAGATTGAAGGGAAGAAAGAAGAGAGAAAATGATGTGGTGCAGATGAGAAGGAGGTGAGATGTAGTATGAGGAGGGAGGGAGAGAGAAAGAGAGGGTGGGAAGGGAAAGAAGATGAAAAAGAAGATTAATATTTAAGCATGCCCATGCATGGGTAATTGATGTATGCTCAGTGCTAGATAAATAACGTGACACTGGAGCTCTGGTTTGTACTAATGACTTCCCTCCCTATTTCTAATCATATGTTTCAGCCACTCCATTTTACACCATGGATCCCTGCTCATTTCACTAAGTGTGTCGAAGCTTATTTTGTGTCGGTGTACGTGTGTGAGTGCTTGATTGAGGCAGAGAGAGTGTGGTTTTGTGTGTGTGTGTGTGTGTGTGCTGTGAGCTGACGGGTGGCCATCTGTTGAGGGTAGAGTGGGTGGGGGGTTGCTGTTTCTCTGGCAGGTGAATGTAGATTCATGGTGAATACAAATGAGACTCTCCACCTCTCTTTCATTTGCTTCTTCGTTCCCTCGCTTCTACGCTGACATGTACAAACACAGACCCATATGGATACGCTCCTTACACATATACATACCGCCATACTATATACAGCCTCACAGATACTCAAGGCTCTTTAACTGGCTCATATACATACACAAACTGAAAGAGCAGCTACATTCCACTAAACTGCAAATACAAAAATATTTGTATTTGATGAAATTCATTCTTACCCACAATACACCAAAGGGGTGTAACAAACCGTTTTTCCATGTTGTATTTAAATTATAGTTATGACCTATATACAATAGTGGGAGGCTTAACATTAAAGGAATGGTACCAGTGTTTTTGTAGCTTTTGGCTCCATAGCTAATGATAATTTTCTGCTGATTATATTATAAAATAAGCTGTAGAGGTTCAAGATTTAGGTGTGGTTTTCTAATTTTCCAGGATGCCATTGGTTTTCATTAATTTCCATATGGTGTGAAAATCAATTAGCAGACTCTTGACACCTGCCTGTTGTGTAATCCATCACAATGAACATACGGTCTGCATTAATGTTCAGAAAAAACTCATTGTTACACTGATGAAGTTTAGAAGTGTAGAATGTTTTAAAAAAAATGATGCTCTGTTACCTTACAAAAATCCTATGATTTTCACAGATGTCAATGTACTTAAAATGAACTGTCATGCCAGGTCTGGTCTATATAATCCACAGTCACAAATTTGTTTCAGAAGGCTTTACAAACCAAACACTATAGGGTTTCCTCTACCCTTACATCATTTTTTAAGACAAGGAAAGACTGCCAACATTTTTATCAGTGGAAACAAGGCAGAGAAACAAAGGGCAAACATGCAAAAGTATGTAAGGCAGATCGCTTTCCAAAGAAAAACAGCTATAGCAGTATGGAGAAACATAAGTTAGTTTGTTTTTGACCCTTTATGCCCAGAGCTGAATGAAACCCAATGGCTGCCTGGAAACTAGTAAAAATACATTACATGAATGATCTGATTTTGTTGGCCACTTGGAGGCAGTGCAACAAGCTGTAAACCCACTACAAATAGGTTATTTCTTTATAAAACAGATATGATGAACATGTTAGCAAATAGTTACTTATCTATACACATCCAGCAGACAAGTTACACCATTAACATTCATTTAAATTTTCAAGTCATGTTTCTGGCCATTTGGTGAATGCAAATCTAATATTTACTCCCTTTTATCTTTGTTTTGGTCTCTACCAAATCCTAAGAGAAATATTTGGCTGTTTAGCTGCTACATGCTCCACTATGTTCACTAGATCGTCATTAACTTTGCCTGTCTTCTGTTTGGTGCTGGGCAAGTAGTGTATAGTAGGGTTTTTTTTTTGTTTTTTTTTTGAAGGAAACAGCTGCTTACTGCTCATAAAATCAGTGACAAAACAAAAATCTATGGTCTCATCACTTCATAGTCACCTGTTCTGGGTCGTATACCATCAGTCGATTCTGGTACTGGGCTGTGTTTGTCACCCCACCTGTAACACAAAGCAACAGCACCCTGGGCTTTTATCTGTGAGTGAAACACTTTAATACAAATACGCATCTGTAACACAAAGCAACAGCACCCTGGGTTTTTATCTGTGAGTGACACACTTTGATACAAATACGCATAAAAGCAGTGTGTGTCCTCACTAAATGTCAAGAGTGTGTCTGGTATATAGGTACATGTAAAGGGCTGTGCAAAGTGAAGGTTAAAGTAGTGCTTATAAGTATGTGTGTGTCTGCTTCTCCCTCATCTTTGTGTACCTGAGACCCAGAGCAGGTTGTCAGCCACACAGCCAGCATGGCAGGACAGTGAGCGGTCGAAAGGTTGGACAAACATCCATTTGTTTCTCTTGGGACAGTAGCGCTCCACAGAGGGCAGCACCTGCCTCAGTTCGTTCCTGCCCCCCACTGCATACAGGTACTGACCCAGAGCACCCAGGACAAAGTGCTCTCTGCAGGCCTTCATGGGGGCTATCTCGGTCCACCTGTTGCCCCTGGGGTCATACCTACAGGCGGCCCTTACTGCACACGTCCTCCCGGTGGCATGCTCCACCTCACCACCCACAACAAATAGGAAGTTCCCCATTACGGCCACACAGTGGTGACTGCGTCCAGTGGGCATGGGTGCCAGTTCGCTCCAGTTCGACCCACCTGCAACACGTACATGCTCCAGTGCAGCTGGATTGAAGTACCGCAGCTCCCTGACTCTGCTCACCTCCCGCTTCCGCCCGCCAACTATGTAGAGAGTGAGGGACTGGAAGCGAGGCCTAGTGCGGGCTGACTGGTGGAGAGGCTGTGCAAAGGTGGCGTGATGGTAGTCCAGGGCCTCATCCACCAGGGCAGCAGCAGTAGGGCTGGACTGGACCAGACGGTGGCTACGGGCAAGGTGGTGCAGGGTGGGGACGTCCATTAGGCCATAGCGGACATGTTGTAGAAGATCCTCAGTGTACTGGTAGCGACAGTCGTGTTCCAACCACAGAACAACCAACTAGAGGCAGAAGGAGAAGAGAAGAACAGTTATGGACTGTATCACCTGCACAAAAGGGAAAATGTTATACAGTATGTGCCATATAGTTAGCATTTAGGGCTAATAAAGATTAAGCTCAGCAAGGCACATTGGAGCTCATGTGGTGCAAGTAACCATTAACTGTTTTCATAAATCTGGCAGTTGCTGAATCACATTTTAACATCAGATTTGGTGGCTACAAAATGATAGATGTATCAAAATAATGTTTAACTTGAGGTACACTCTTCATTCGTCTAGACCAATATTAATACCTCTGGGGAGGGTGTTTTTTAAAGCATGCTACATAAGGTTTAGCTCCTTCTCCATGCAAATAATTTTCATACAGTTCCTGTAAAAGAGAGCAGGAAGGTGTTATAGGCTAGAGCTAGAAACAAGGTTAAGAACAGAGAGAAGGAGACAGGAATAAAGGATACAAGAGGATAGGGTTGGTGAAAATAGTGAAAGATTGGAGGGGTGAGTGAGAAGGTGAAAAAAGAAGGAGAGTATCAGAAAAAACAAGGGAAGGACTGCTAATCAAAATTGTTTCTCCACACACCTATAGGCTATTGTGGCAAGGCTGAGGCAAGCTTGCACTGCATCCATACTTGCCAACACGCACACAAGCATTTATTAATCAGCAGCATTCAATATACAGACTCTAAATATCCACAGGCACCTTTCTTTGTTTAAAGCAGGCAAACCAGGTTAGAGAGAAGGGATTTAATTGAACTTGAGAGCAGTGGAAGGTTATTTAGCTGCAAGGAGGTATGAATATGGGCGAGATGACTGGCCATCACCGATAACTCTTATCAGCCAAACAAAGTGGTTTTTAACCAAATCCAAGCAGAAACTGAGAAATTAGTACAGTGGAATAAAGGCAGGTTGTGACATGCCATGGACAAACCAGACAAAAACACTGGAAAAATTTCAGAGTATCCCAACTGAAATGACAAGGCAGAATTTGATGTGTGTATGATGAATGATTGTGTGTGCACAAATACTTATGGTGTATTACATTATATAAGCTAACCTAATAAAAGTGCATATCCTTTCACTCAAAAGCTGTAAACATGCAGCAAACCTGCAAGTCAGAATAGTCTTCTTGGTATTATCTCCGCTACTCTGCTCTCTCTCCCTCCCTTTCTCTATTGCTCACCCCGCCTCTCTCCTCGTCATAGCTCTGAAGTGACAGCGCGTGTGTGTGTCTGTGTGTGTGCACTATGGCAGCTGACTGTGAAGGTCACACTGCATCACACAACTTCCTCAGGGCACAGAATAAATCAACTCCTTCTCCCTCCTTCCCCGTCGCACTGAAAGAGAAAGTGCAAGAGAGAGTGTGTATGTGTCTGAAAAGGAGAGAGCAAGGGAAAGCGATAGTGATGGTTGTGAAGGGAGGGGGGAACGCTACAAAAAGGCAGAGCAAAAGATGGCAAGAAAGAAAAGGAAAGAAATAACAAAGCTCGAGAAAATGTGATTTCCAGAGCATGAGAAACTTTGACTGACTATGATTGACAGCCAAGCTATATCGGTCCGGTATTGGCGGGTGCAAACCCCCCACCCTTTTGGATGACGGCCCCCGCTTGCTGTTCGTTTCCGTCTGATGCCCAAATTAACCTTCTAGGCAAAGTGAAGGAGGCCCAAAGCAGCCTAATCAGAGGCTGATTATGGCTGCGGCGGCTGGCTAAAGGGTCAGGGTAATTGTGCCATCAGAGGCCTGATTGTTTTCAATCAGACGGGCGGCCGAGTGACAGCTGGGGGATTGGGGCCCTGATGGAGCCGCGGTGGGCCTAATCAGAGAAGAGAAGAGGAGAAAGACAGCAAGGAAGAGAGATGGGGGGGGGACTGATTGGTGCAAATGAACAGTCAAAGTGGCAAGTCCCCACCTTGCACTACCGCTTCACTCCACAGTACTGGCAGTTCATCACACATGCACATGCATGCTCGCATGGATGCAGGGTCTGACAGTCTATCGCACACGTGCACACACAGTCAGAGACAGTCCTTCCTACTGCATACCCTCATTAATATAAACAAACAGTATGCAGAGATGCAGATGGCAGTGTTTAATTTGTTGTTTATTAATCCGGGTGTTTGCTCTGTGTTGTGCCATGCATTTCTATTTGTGTGTGTGTGTGTGTGTGTGTGTGTGTGTTACATATACTGAACATTTTGGTGCCAAGATTCAGTTTACAAGTAGAGATAATTGTTTCTCACTTTATTTTTCATCTAAATATTACCTTAACACTTTAACACCTTAATGCTGTATCTCCAGGTGTCTCTAGTTGCAAGGTAAACCTGTGACGACCCTGTACACACACATACAATTCCAGTACCTTCCATATCTCCTCTTCACTCAGGGAGGTGAGGCGGTCGCTCTTCAGCACCTCCCTGAGGAGGCGGTAGGGCAGCTGCAGAGCCTCGTCCTGCCGGCTCTGGCTGAGCTCCGACAGATGCTCCACCAGGAAGCCCACCACAGCCTCCTCTAAGGAGGGGAGGTGTAACAGGTCGGCCACACGGTACAACTCCAGGTAGTTCACACTGCTCAGCTCCTACAGGGGGAATATATAAATACACAGATGAATGCACATCTTCACCATTTTCATACTGCTTCACAGACAGCTGTCAGGCCTTATGATGTTAAAATAGGCGACAACATGGGAACTAATGAAGGTAACAGACCGGTGACAAAGCTGTCTAACATGTCACTCCAAAAGCTTCCATAGGTGTTCACCTAGGATGAGATCTGCTGACTGTGAAGGCCATAGCATCTGAATCACATCACTTTCATACTTATCAACCCATCCAGTGACCCCTCATGTCCTGTGGATGGGGCCACTGTCATGCTAGAAGAGACCACTTTTATTCAGGTGTTTCCTATCATTTGTCTGCTGTTTGTAGGCAAACACACCTCACCTGGATCCCCTTTACAAAGCCTGTGAAACTGTTACACCTACCACTTTATCTTCATTTTGAATAATCCAGACCAGTGTCCACTAGTTGTACATCTATGAGGACAAAATTTTATGGTTTGATTTCAAGTGTTTTATTTCAATTTAAATGCCTTCTCAATACTTAAAAAGAGCATCTATCTATTTATTTATTTAAATATGTCAAACTGTGAATCAGTTTCAGTTTGATAGTTAAATGATAACATCACAGACATCATCAAATGTGGAAACAGAGAAAAGTGTAAATTTAAAAAACGAGGGTCTGACTACTGGAATCAGACTGCCACCTTCTGGCTTTCCTTCAGTACAACCAGTAAAAACATGGATAATTGAATGCATCCCCGTCTACTACTCCACATTCAGCCAGTAATAATGTAGTATTACCACAAATCGATCACTTAAGGCTTGCTAAGTCAATATTATATATCTTATTCACTATATTTCATTACAACTTCTAATTTACAGAAAAAAGCATGTAGCATATTTCACTTTGAAAAGTCTCAAATTAAAAAAGTAAAGGCCTTCATTTGAATTTTGATGATGGTTATACAAATAACAACAGCAACAATCACATATATGACAACAAAAATGTGTATTTGATATGATTTCAAATAAAAGATTTACAGTGCTACACACAGTGAGTGTGGTATTAATTGCAGTTATTCCAATATTAAGTTAACTGACTTCTGCATATCAGTATCTATCATTCTGGAGTTAGATGATCCTGACAGGCTGATATAGCTGACTGTAAAGGTAGTACTGTGCAGCAGTGTGTACTGTATTTATTATTCACACACACACACACACACATATATATATATATATATACACACATACACACACACACACACACTCAGTTGATGTGACTTGGGTCCAGTACACAAACATGTTAGCAGGTAAAGAGATTAACAGTCACAAAAACTCATGACTTATTCAGCAGTTTGCTGTTTTGTTTATATTAGAAGGTAGGGGCAGCTAATCAATATCCACACACAGAGAGGAGGGTTTCCAACCACCAGATGGCACATTAGAGCTACATTTACTATTGCGCCTTAACTGTGAGGTCTCTGAAGATAAAATACAGTATAACAAGATTACAGTCTGGTGGTGGGGACCTGGGAAACAGCGCACCAAATGAAATGGTAGGACTGTATACAGTACATATGCAATTTTAAAACCACTGCTACTGAAACTACCTGCAAATAGAGGTAAAACACAAGACAGAATATCAAACACCTCAGAGTGATTCTGTTCTACAGCAACCTCAGCCTGATTTGTCTTTGTCTGCAGCAGGGTTTGGCTGAGGACAGTGAGCTGACTTTGCTCGAGCCATCTCTGTGATAAGCATGAAGGCGGGTGGCTTAGTTCATGAACGCTAATGAACTCAGGCACTTTAGATGACAAGTATTCACCCTGCTGACGTCTCCTTGAGGAACACACAGAAGCTGGGTTTCTGTTCTCTAACACACTCATTGTTGCCAACTTGGCGACTTTCTCGCTAAATCTGGTGACTTTCCAAATCCTCTTGGCGACTTTTTTTGTCAAAAGCAGCTAGCGACAATAGCGACTTTTTCTGGTGTTATTGGAGACTTTTCTGATGTTTTGGAGACTGACGTGAAAGCAGGTATCGCCCTGGAGTTACTGTCCTCAACGAGCAGCGGGTGCTGCCGTGAGCCACTCCCCTGTCCCAAAGCACTCACGGGCAGTCAGTCTCACTGTAGCCTGGAGCAGCAGTCTCAGCTGCAGTTAGAGCAGAGAGGAGATCCACACCGCTCCGCGCCAATTCCGTCCTGACTTACAGAGCTTGATGTAAATGTAAAAGTTTCTTCACTGTCACACTAAAATAAATCACTGCATTTGACTCACAGCCTCAGTCACTTACTCTCTGCATCCACTTTATGTGTGCCTCTTTGTGGTATAAGCTAAACATCTAGCTAGCTAGCTAGCTCATCATGTCTCAATCTAAACTGTACATTCAAAAGTACAGAAAGGAGCGGGAATCAAACCCTGAGTTCAAAGGCTGGTTGAAGCCGTTTATAGGAGATGATACATGGGCATACTGCCTGTATTGTAAGGCTGATTTCTATGCTAAATTTTGTGATATAAAAAAACATGACAACTCAAAAGCATACTCAAAAGGCAAAGCCTTATATAACAGTTCCACCCAAAGCAAGCTGCCATTAATGAGTAAAAAAAATGGACTCTGCATAAAAGGCTGAAGCCACCATGGCATTAGCTATTGCTGAACACTGTTCCATGCTGGCATGTGATCACATTTGGGAAGCATGTAAAGCTGCTTTCTCAGACTCCACTGCTGCTACTCACTTCAAAATGCACAGGACAAAGTGCACGGAAATGATTAATGGTGTTCTAGCACCATACTTTCTAAAAAAGCTGGTTGCAGATGTGGGTAACCAGAGTTTCAGCCTCCTCCTCGATGAGTCCACAGATGTAAGTGTTTCTAAGTACCTGGGGGTTGTGATAAGGTACTTTAGTGACACCAAACACACAATTGTCTCAACATTTCTGGGGCTTGTTGAGTTGGAGGGAGGAGATGCCAGATCCATAGCCCGAGCTGTTGTGGCTTTCCTGGAGAATTGTTGTCTTAAAAAAGAGAAACTCCTGGGGATAGGGACTGACAATGCCTCTGTTATGACGGGGATTAACAATGGGGTCCATAAAGTGCTGAAGGAGGAGTATGGCCTCAAAGATCTTGTTCTTATTTGCTGTGTGTGTCACTCTCTGCAGCTTGCTGTAAGTCATGCTTCCAATGACACCATGCCCCGTAGTGCGGAGTACTTGGTGCGGGAGGCCTACAAGGCCATATATGAGACCATCAACTGTGGGGAGAAACCCTGACAAATAATCAAGGTGTGTGCCACACGTTCGGCTCTCCATTGAACCAGCGGTTTCACGTATTTTGGACCAGTGGGAGGCGCTTAAATTGCATTTCGCATTCACCAAGTCCAGTGAACATGGCTGAGGTTTTGTACTCCATGTACAGTGATCCTCAAAACATCTTGTATCTGACTTTTTTGAATTCAGTGCTGGGTGAGGTACAGTTGGCCATCAAGGCATTTGAGGGAGAGCAGGTAGATCCTCTTAAACTTCTTGACAGCTTGGTTAGCCTGATAAAGTCTGTGAGTAGCAGGGTGCTGAATCCACTGGCAAATATTGATGTACTCAAAGAGCCAATTGATAGCTACATCAGTCCCAAACCGTACTTTGGTTACCTTTTTGAGTCAAAGGCAGCTGAGCTCCACCTTACGCCTGAGGAGAAGAACAATGTCCGAAAGAGGTGTGTAGCCTTCACCATCTCCCCCACTAACGAGTTGAGGATGAGACTGATGGACAACATTGAAGCATTGCAGTACATGTCAGTTTTCACTGTAGAGGAAACTCTAAAGCACAATAAGAGCCTGGGAGAAATAGAAAAAATAGCCAAACTCCTTGGCTACTCTCCTGCAGAGATAGACAAGATTGTCCAGCAATGGCGTGTCATCCATCTTAGTAAGTGGAATGAAACAAAAAACACAGTGGGCTTCTGGAGTGAGATTTGGAAGTTCAGGGATGCAGCTGATATCAACCCATTTCAGGAACTTGCCATGGCTGCTGTGTCTGTGTTGTCCACACTTGCCACACTCTAATGCTGAAGTCGAGAGATTATTCAGACAGATGAGTGTGGTCAAAAGCAAACTTAGAAATTGAATGTCCTTGCAGACCCTGGACTTCCTTACTCATTTACGTCAGCTCCCTCAGTTGCTGAACCTGCCATAGAAAGCCTTGATCAAAATGAAGATGCTGCCCGATAATGTTTTGCAGCTTTTTGCCACATCAGCTGCTTAGTCATTTAAGTCAGCTCCCTCAGTTGTTGAACCTGCCATAGAAAGCCTCGACCAAAATGAAGATGACCTACTCTTTCTGTGAGCCAGCACAGTGTGTGTGTGTGTGTGTGTGGAGGGGGCTCCAAAAAAAAACAAACAATGAACCTGAATTAGGGCAGATTAGTTAACATATTTTTTTTCTATTGTCTCTTTTTGGCCCGTTTAGATCATGTGTGTGTGTGTGTGTGTGGAGGGGGTTCCGAAAAAACAAACAATGAACCTGAATTAGAGCCAGATTAGTTAACATCATTTTTCTCTATTGTCTCTTTTTGGTCCATTTAGATTATTAATGCTGTCGAGTTAAAATCGTCTATACAAAAAAAATGTTAAAAATGTTATAGTTATGACAAAAAATGTTCATGTTTTACTGTGACTTGTTGTAGGTTCCTATGTGGAGCACAAGGTTAAAAACTAAACCAAACTTAAGAAAACAAACAAACAAAAAAACCTAAAAAAAAAAAAAATTAAACACCTAAGTAACTCTGCCAGAGTGTCTCTTTTGGGTCACTTTGCCGGTCCCAAACCCGGATAAAGGAGGAGGGCTGGACATAGAGCTAGCAATTCCACCCCACATAACAGTCTTTTGATTACATTTTATATTCTAATATTTAACAATACAGGGCAAAATTGACTTATGTAATATGGGTCTAGACAAAGCATTAAAGTTATTTTGAGAAGTGATGGCCTATTTCAATGGCAAAAAAAACAAAACAGGAATCAACAGAAGAAAGTTCATTTGTAGTTCTAAACATATTTAGGGTGTTTTTACTCACTTTTTGTCTCTCCCACGACCGTATTCCTCTCGTCCATTACAATTACATGCAAAGAGAAATTACGCAAATTATGCGATGACGTCATCTACCGACTTGTTACGACTTTTAGGATAGCCAATAGCTACTTTCCTTACTTAGGAGTTGGCAACAATGCTTTCGATTTCTGTATTGTCATTTGGTGGTGACGTTTTCTCTTCTACTAGGTCGGTGTGCTCGCTGTGCTCGCTGTGCTATGTTGGTAGCTGGTAGCTAGCTAGCTGCTAGCTAGCTAACCTGCCCGGCTACCCCCCTTCTCCTCTGAAGTCTTCTGAGCGGGTCCGTGAATGAACCCCGCACCTCAATGCAACTCTCGTGGCCGCGATGGCAGCGACAGAAACGGTCTGAGTCTTAGCCTCGCCATGTCTTAGCTAAACGATCATTATATCTGTAGTCAATGTTAGTGTGATTCGTGCCCTTAGCTGTGTTCACCAGCAGGTAGCTTTTTTTCTGTCCGGGACAGACGGCGATAGCTAGCACCTTCTCTCGCCACCACAGGAGGATGCTGAAGCTGTTCGGTGCACTGGTTATCCTCGGACTGGCGCTGGCGTGCATCACCTCCTGGGTGCTGGACAGCTATGACACAGCTTGGCGCCCTAAACGGAGCTTTCGGCACCCGTCTGCCGGTGATGGAGATGAATCTAAGGGGAATTCTCCACCATTCCCCAACGGGGAGTTGAACAATATATTCTGGTTTATACAGGTGGGCTATTATTCTGTCTTGCTAGCTAATTTTGTTGTTTACCTCAAGCTGAATGATGTTGTCTAAACAACCAATATGTTCATTTTTCATTTTATAGTCTTAATTTTAACATGGGTAGAATATCCACACATAGCTTTGCAGTATTGTTTTAGGAAACTAGCTGTGGTGAACTCTCTGAATGATTGACTGAAAGGGGTCACTGACCACAGAAGTGTGTTATTGTCAGATAAAAAACGGTGATTCAGCAATACACTAAGATGAAGGGGTTTTTCACCTTTTGTGTTTTACAACTGTCATACTACTGTGTTAAAGAGGTTACACACACAGTCCAGGTCTAAGACCAGTTTTAACCATTTATTCTTTATCCCTGATTCTGATTTTTATGTCTGGTTTAAGGTGTCTGACATTCACATTAGCCGATTTCATGACCCGAGACGCATTCCTGATTTTGAAAAGTTCTGTACTGACACCATTGAAGTGATCAAACCAGCTTTAGTGCTTGTAACAGGTATAGTACTCCTCCATCTTTAACTAGTATAAGTTACCTGGAAAGTCTTTGTTTTGTAATGACAGTTACTGGGTGTGGTCGTCATGTTAATACAGTCCAAAAAGATGACAGGTTGGTCTTAAGTGCTTCATATGCTTCATTCCTAGAGACCATACTAAGTCTCCCATTTTCTTTTCCCACTCCACAGGAGATCTGACGGATGCTAAAACAGAGAGTAAGGTGGGTTCCCTCCAGCACGAGGTGGAGTGGCAGGCCTACCACAATATCCTGAAGAGGTCACGTGTGATGGAGCGCACTCGGTGGATAGACATCCGTGGAAATCATGGTGATTAACCACAGCACTGTTACTCTAATGTCCTCTCATAACTCACCAGTTCAGCTGAAGAATCATAGAATAGGGAATGTGCTATTAAGAGGTTCTGAACAATCCATTAACAGTTTTCAGCCTCACACAGGAAGTCATTTTGCGCCCTCCTCTTCACTGCTTTCTTCTCCATTATTGGATCACAACCTATTAGAAACAAGATATCTTTGTTTTGTAACTGTCAAAAAAGAAAGCTAGTTATTGCATCTGCAGTTTCTCTTACAGCTATTTGCAGCATGTGGCATGTCAGTTTATCTGTGAGTGTCTGTATGATAACCTGTTGTTCGATATCTTCCTGCAACATGAGGAGATCTGATGCCTGCATTAAATATCTGTCCTATTGGGAGTTTCTATATTAGACATTTTGGTCCTTTGCTGGAAAGCTAACAGTTAAAAATCTGTTGTAAAATTTGTATGCTGCACAATCTCACCATTATTTAATTTATTCTAACAGATGCCTTCAACATTATTTCATTGGACAGTGTCAGCAATTATTACCGGTCAGTATGAAACCATCAATGCCAGAGTAAATACCTAACTTACATCCAGTCAGTGCTTATTCTAGTATGTCTTGTCACAGTACACAAAGAATAAAATTAACATTAGTCCATTGTTACTTCAGTGGCTCTGAAAAATGACTAGTTGCAGACCTATTTATTGACAATATTCCAAGCTGTCTGAACTTCCTAAAGCAGAATCTACCTGACTCTCTTTGTCTTTTGACACAAATGATGTTTTATGTGATATTGCTACTCCTGTTAATGAAGATTGATCTTTTATCTCCATAATATCCTTAATGTTGTGGTTATCCTCTGCAAGACAGAGTCCGTCTCCTACGCCAGCCTAACTTATTTATCTAAAATGCATTAAATTATCTCATGGCACTATTAGAAGTAGCTCCTGGCTCTATCCCAAGCTACTGTACAGTAACTTGTTGCTCCCACTGGCTTTTCTCCATTTTCTCTAGGAAATACTCAGCTAATCAGAAAGTAGGCTCTTTCCACTATGTTCACAAAACTCCCTTTGGAAGCTACTCCTTTGTGTGTGCCGATGCCACTCTGACCCCAGGACCCAAGAGACCATACAATTTCTTTGGTATTCTCAACCAGGTATGCTATGCCTGCGCCTTTTCTTTACAAATCCTTTTTTAATTTGTGACAAAAATACCTCAACCCACCTTTTATCCTTTTGGATTTGTTAAAGATTAGGAATTACATAAATGATTTAATGACACATTTTCCATATAGAAACTTTAGCCACTAAATAAACACATTTTAAACAGAGGTGTTTATGAGTTTATTTAAGAAACGAGCAAATGGAAGGTTGTACTAACATCCAGCTGCACTAGAATATACAGTAGATTCATGTTCTATTTTTAAAGGAAAAAATAAAGCACTCAGTGAATGTAACAGAGAATATACTGTAATCTTTCTTCAATATTACAGACCCAGATGGACTTGCTGGAAAAGTTCAGAGCTGAGAGTCTGAAAAGCAACCAGTCGATATGGTTTGGCCACTACACCACTTCCACTATCGTCTCCCCTTCGCCAGGAGTTCGAGATAAGATGAGGTAAGAAAGGCCAGGGTGTTAAACCAGTTTCCAGACGATCTGCAGGGACGTACA